GATACCCGATGAAGGACGGGGCTGAGCAGCCGGGGCGAGTGCCGATTGAGACCAAAAGCCGCGGAGAGGGATTTTGGGAAGGATGGTAATAAAAAAAAATCAGAATTAATTCAGTTTATACAAAATAGTGAGCATAATTTGGTTTGGGCTAAATCTGTAAATGTTTTGCCTGCAGTTGTGCTGCCTTGTGCTGCTGCTGCGTCCTCGAAACATGCTTCTGAGGACAAATTAAGGAGGCCGTACGCGTATAGACTGCACGCGCGCCATTGATATTAATTAATTATTTGCTATGTTGAATTCTTGGTCTTGATTTGGTTGTATTATTTGTTGTTCAGTTGTTGTTTTTTTTTGTTGAAAAAAGGAGAAAATTGTCAAACGCTGGTGTTTGGTTATAATTCAAGCTCCTACTACACGTGTGAAGATCTGTGTTTCCGTGGATGTGTTTTGCTTTATGCAACTGCCTAAAATTCAGAAAAGCCCCTTAAGTTAGCTAGGGTTGTCAAAAAACCCCAAAAAACCAGAAAAAAATAAGACCCAACCCCACACACCCCAAAAAAAAAAAAAAAGAATAAAAAACAAAACGACAATTTCTTACTGACAAAAATATCCCTAAACTTTCTGATATTTTGAAAGTTATTCAAAGTTAAGTGCAGTTACCTGATATTTTAGCCTGTGCAATTCATATCTCTACTATTTGAAGTTTGAACGTAACAAGGTGAAGATCAGACTTTGTATAAACTTAGTAAGGTGTTTGGCAACTACCGAAAAATGAGGTTACTTAGGACTAGCCCTGACCGTGTTTTAAGTAAAACCAATTTTAAATTTTTTTACCGCAAACAAAACGAGTCTTGAAGGTCAAATTTAGCCTCAGGAAAACCTGGCTAGATTCGACCTAGTTTCATTCAAACAGAATTTCGTCTAAGATGAGGCCATGTTTAACACCCCAAAAAAAAAAAAAAAGAATAAAAAACAAAACGACAATTTCTTACTGACAAAAATATCCCTAAACTTTCTGATATTTTGAAAGTTATTCAAAGTTAAGTGCAGTTACCTGATATTTTAGCCTGTGCAATTCATATCTCTACTATTTGAAGTTTGAACGTAACAAGGTGAAGATCAGACTTTGTATAAACTTAGTAAGGTGTTTGGCAACTACCGAAAAATGAGGTTACTTAGGACTAGCCCTGACCGTGTTTTAAGTAAAACCAATTTTAAATTTTTTTACCGCAAACAAAACGAGTCTTGAAGGTCAAATTTAGCCTCAGGAAAACCTGGCTAGATTCGACCTAGTTTCATTCAAACAGAATTTCGTCTAAGATGAGGCCATGTTTAAACTTAGCTCCATTTTAAGGAGCGCGCTCAAAACCGGGCTAGGACCAGTCCCAGCCTAGTTCTTTTCTAAACCAGTTCCCAATTAAATCAGGACTCAGTGTCAAGGGGTTGGTAAACACACCCCAAGTCAACAAAGTAGCTAGAGATGAAGGTCTCACCTCACCTGCCATTTTTGTTGCTTCTATATATATTCCCTTCATCGATCCTTACGAAATCCTCATCGATCAGGCAACCTAACACCAACTGCTTGCTCTCGACCGATATGGCTATATCTCAACCCTATAACCCCCAATCAAAATCCTTTGTCAAAAACTTGGGAATCTCTTTGTAGCTACCCTCTGTACTTTTTAAAAAAGGAAATAAAGAAGTAAGGTAGAATATCACCCTGCATTGATAATTATGTACCTGTTACCATCATGGACCTGTTTTGTATTTCTCAAACATGATATCATGGATATTTATACAGAGAGTCAAACTGAAACTGTGACAATACCAATAATTTAGGCATCCAATTGTGTTACAACATGCGCTACCCTGAATCTAAGGCTAAAACATAATACTGTTTGATTACAAACACCTGAAGAGATAAAAAGATGCTATCGACTTCAAAGAAAATGTTGAAGCTTGAAAATAATACAAAAAAGAACACTTTCTTTAGCTTTTATGCCTGGAGAATCTGAAGATCAGGCAAGGGACCTGTTGCATCCAAAGGGACAGCACTCCTTCACAAAAGATTCTGGTTGATAAGGGAAAGCTTCCTCTAAAGTAAACCAGTTCCAATATTTACAATCAAAGCATGAGCATTGGTTGCACTGGCAACAGCAATGGGTGAAAAACCTGCTGCATTTATTTATTTTCATTGTCCGGCGCCTTCAGGGCTCTGGGTGAAAATGTCCTCCAAGAGCTCAGGGCACATATGGACTGCAGCTTGAGGAGGATGAGATTAAGCTGGTGGTGGAGTTTGTCAAGTTACAATCTAACAAAGAGCTGTACAGTGTCGAAAGTCACGGAGACTGATTCCTGCGCAAGAAAAGAAAATGCCAAAAAACGGCACTGTTAGCAGTGAAATAAATTGAGATGATCAAACACATTATGATGATGATATCAGATGCAAGCAATTTGGTAATGGGCAAACATGTTACTTATTATGAGGACGTCCCATACATGTCATGTGCAGAAGCCATTGAAAGGGAGGACATTTACAACAAGTGCAAAGGAACACATGATTCTTATAACAAGAGTTGGGATTATTCACGGCCTACAGTTTAACATGCAAAGCGGAAAACCCAAGTTAGTTTGATTTTCCATACAAATCAAAAGCAAAAAAGCAAAAGTAATCATCTCATTCTCAAACAGAAATGTATAATATGTATCTTTTAGGCATCAGACAGTGAGATTCAGTCCTCCCTTAAAATATCTATTTTGTTAAGTTATTCGGATCATGCAGAAGCCTTCAAGACAGTTTTACGACACTCCATTTTGGAGACTGTATTTATAAGGGTTAATTGCGGAAAGGTACTATCGCCCAGTTGAGGATAGACCCCCTGTAGTTCTATTCCTGTAGTTATATTGTCGCAGATACACCCCAGAATGAAATTATTCTGTCTCTTTACCCTCAGAGAAAGAGAATATTATTTTTTAACAAATATTCCTCCTGTGGGTAAGAGTCGAAACAATTTCACTCGGGAAGTCTATCTACAATTGGGCGATAGTACAGGGGGTCCATCCGCAATTAACTCTAGTTAAATTTTACTCCTATTTTAAAGTCATTTCTTGTAGAGCGTTATTAAGACTGGCAAGACAATTGTTAAGAATAGCATCAACGCAACTGACAAACATGTACAAGGAAATATGAACGAGAGACTTACAATTAGCTGAGTGTTGAGTGGCCTGTCCAGATTCAATAAGGCGCAACTCCATATCTTGCTGAGAGGCAGTCCAACCGGGTTCATAAGCTTCAAGAAAACCGAGCTTTGCCTTATTCGGGAGATCATGGGGATGAACAAATGGAACCCCAGGTGGCCATCCTATCTCCATCCTTATGCTCTCACATGGGCTATCCAATGACTGTATATGATTCTCACACTCCTTTAGATTGCAAAATCTCAACTTAATTCCCTTCTTGTCGGCAATATCCTGGACTCGTTCCTTCAGGACCCTCTGTGCCTCGAGCCGTAGCCTCTTAGAAGGAGGTAGAGTCTTGCACTTTGTAATGCTCTTCTTCCTCTTTATCATAGGTTTCAGAGCTGCTGTTGCCAATGATTCCAAATAAGCAATATGTACGTGCAATGCAAGCAACAAGGAAGGAACTTGAAAGTCATGCAATTAGGCAAAAACGTGAAATTCATGCGTCAAGCTATAATTTAGACAGCATATTCAATGAGAATAAATTATGAAAATATAGAACAAACTTAAAGTGGAGTAGAATAAAGAAGAATGCCCAGGTTTAAACATCTCATTGATAACTGATAGCAGGCTACCTAATTGAATTAATAAAATTCATGTGAAAAACATAAAATAAAATGACCAGAAGTTTGGTAGTCCTTGGATTGGCTGATAAGCCAACTGAAGTTGAATGCTAAGCCACAATCAGCAACTAGTGAGATTTCCCTAAAGATGATTTGTTCCTAACAGATGAAAGAACCGTAACAATGGAAGTCTATGAGCAACCATGAGATTCATAAGGCATTTTGATGCATACTATCTTGGTATAGAAATTTGGAAAAGAAATTGAAAGGGGAACTTATATTATCAAAACAGCAAGGGCAAAATACACAGCTGCCTTCTGAAGATAGGGTGAAAAGAATTCAGTAGACATCTGAACAATTAGGTCAAAAGATGAAAGGATGTAAGATAACAAATAATTGCAGGAAAGCAGAAAATAAAGGAATTAGATTTTGATGATATATAATAGAGGAGCCTGGAATTACAAAATATCCCACTCTGCTTCCTTGTATATAGACCCTGCATGAAAAAGAACATGTGAATAAGATGGTACAGCCAAGAACTTTGGATTGATGAAAATAAATCGATAAAGAGCACAAATATCATATCTTAAACACAAATTAAAATGCACGACAACATATCCTTAAGGATATAGAAAGAGGAGAATGCCGGCAAAAGGCTTAAGCATTGACAACAGAGGGAACAGTCCATTTATGTCTACATAGCAGAAGTTTTTGGATGGAATGTGCTACAATCTTGATATTTGGCGAGTTGATAGAGGGAAAAAGGAGATGAACCGGAAGAAGATGCCAGAGGGTTGAAAGGCAAAATGCGAGAAGGATGTAATGCATTTACAAAGATGAATTCAACCCGAGTAATGAGAATAGCGAAGGCTGTGTAGCATTCCTAAGCTATCTTTCTTTATTGCCTATTAGTAGAGCTAAAGCAAGGACAATAGACCGGAGCAACGATATATTAAAGAACAATTATATGACCTTCACCTGAAGGGAAAATTTACAGTGCAAACATAATAGGTGGCAACTACAACCATGGATTCTCACTGAAGCTTTTCATTTAGCAGCAAATAGAGTAGAACAAGTAGAGGTGTAGCCTTATGTCGGACATTGAACAAAAATATGAAGCCCATTAAACCACTGGAAAATAAAGTAACTAGCACGGTCATAATATTTCGAAAGTATAAATATTTCACCAACCATCTTGTCCTGCTTGAAAGCTGTAATTCGGAAAGTTATTCTTAGCGAAGAACTGCTCTGTAGTGTGTGTTCTCTGCATGAAGTCATCGACTGGTATCGGAAGCTGGAATTGGGCCTCAACCCCATATCCAGCTGCTCTCATCTCTGAACAGCTAAGACTCGCCATGGATCTTGGCATAAGCTTGAAAGCCAAAGAGTGTCGTCCATACATATTACCCTGCAAATTACCCATCTCAATTCGGTACAAAGCTGCATTGACATAACCAGCAGTTGCCTGGTAAAGTGCAAGCCCGGGATACACAATAGCATCTTGAGGGCCGAGATCTCCATCTACAAGTACCCAATGCCCGTGGAAATCCTTAATATGCAAGCCTGCCCTATCAGACTTAACGAGAGTAAGTAAGCTCTTATCAGCTTGATGCTCATGGTCCGAAAACATGAACCCATCCTCCGTCGTCAAGTTATGGTGTTGTGCTCCTTGGAAAGAGGGTCTCGAGTGACAGCACACTGAAAGGACCGAGGATGATATCTCTCTGCTCCTCAAAGGGAAGTTATCAAGAATCTCACTAAATGAAAAACTGCGTAAATTCAGAGAATAGCTGATGGCCTCCAGAATGCATCGAGCGGCTTTCCCAAGTAATGTAAATATATCGGGAAGACCGGCTGGAGGAAATTCCATCGAACCATTAGGCTCTATTGGAGTAAGACCGGGTCGGTAATCATAGTTTTCCTGCCATGACTGGGGGTCTGAATAATAACCAGATGTTCGGCACCACTCTTGTGGATCACTGTTAGGGACCATGTTGGAAGCAGTGTATTCTCTTTGGTGAAAGAAAAGACGAGCAGACTCCAACCCGGACTTCAAAAGCGCGCTGTCGCTTGTAGGTAACTGAACAATGACGGCAGAGTACTGAGCAAGAGAATGCATTAGAGTTGAAACAGAGACTTTGTAGGTTTCGGATGGAAGCCCTTCTGATGCTACAAGGTCAGCGAGTCTCACACGACCAACAGATGGTAGAACCATTCCAGCCATAGCACCCATTCAATAATGCTACTAGTCTAAACATTTGACGGTAGGGCCAGAATTCATCTAACTGCATGCGAAACAAATTTTATGAGCAACGGAGAAAACTCAATCTCAGAGAGCACCAACACAGCATTCTTCGAAGACTCGACAAGTTTTGCTCAGAAAGCACCAAGCCGCATCACATTATCCTAGATTATTCAAATTTGACAATGATGACATCGAAGCCCGCGACTTCTCGCAACTCATTCTCCGAGCACACTCTTGATATATCATCTTGTAAATTTTAAGTTAAAGAGCTAGTATGTTTCCCTATTGATCTTCTGATCGTTTCCTCTCTACACAAAACTGCTACTCTCAGTCAACATCATTCAACTAATAAACATATACTTCAAACTTTTGATGATTTTTTTTTTAAGATGAGACGCTAATCGCAGGGGGGAAAAAATGAAGCTCGCCTCATATGCAAAATAAGGAACTGAATCAAAATTGACGAACCGCGCCAAAATCTTGTACGATTCAACTCAGAAAATAATGGGTTTTTTAGGGATTGTTTTCACCTCAACGAACCCTAAATAATTAAACAGGATGAAAAAGATTGCAAAACAAACCTAGCCTTTTTCTGGTCGAAATCGAGGAATCCTTGATGAACGGGAACTGGGTCTTCGGATTTCGAGATCAAGGGCTCACCGGCTTCTTTCGGGCGTGGGTGAATTTGGGGGAAAAAAAAGAAAGCAGTAAGAAAAATTAGAAAATTCCCCAAAGAAACAGAGAGATCGTGGGACGCAGCGTGGGCTTAACCCGTGTATGGGCTTGCTGAGTTGGGCCTGGGCTGTACGGTTGTTAGCAAACTGTTTTGCAAATCGCTGAGCTCGTTAACGCCGGCTCGTAACCGATTTGGGGTCTATAAGACGGTCGGATGGGTTTGAAGACTAATACTAGTTATTACTAGTGTGAACACCAGGCAAAAAACACGGCATATCATTTTTTTTCGCTAGAGTAATTCAGCTTTAAATACTATAGAAATATTTTTTTAAAATTGCTACAGTTTCCGCTTTTGCTACAGTAATTTTTAAAGAAGTTACGGTGGCCATGTATGCTACAATAATATTTTTCAAAAAAATACTACAGTATCTCATTTCCTGTATGCTACAGTAATAACGATATAGTAAATGTTGATGTAGTGTCTACTGTAGTATGAATAGTGAATCTTAGGTTCTCCCATTTGTATAGAAAAGTAGATTTATCTACATGTTTGATTTGATTTTTATCTCTCAATAACAACAAATCATAAGTACATATACATTATAGATGATGTTTAGAAAATTAACACCACGCACCCAAGATACGGATTGAGATCCTCTACTAAGGCATAGTGCCTCCTAATATCTCTTAATGCATCTTCACCTTTTATTGCATAGTATCTCCTCGTATTTTGTGCTTATGCACAAAATGAAAGGTGAATATAGAGACACTATGCCTTAGTAGAGGATCTAAATCCCCAAGACACATCCATACTCGGAGGATCCCCTCGGATCGTACCAATTAATCCTCTAACCCAAGACAACCATCTTTTTTGGAAAAGATTTTATCCATTTTAGCAAGACAATCATCACTTGCAAAAAAAAAAGGAGTAGCCTAGTTATATAGTTTAGTCTCTGTAAATTTGTCACGGATATTAGATTAAAAAAAAAATTTACGTAAGAGAGGATGTGGGGGTGACCGGGTGAGGGGAGAACAAAGCTAAAAGAGATGAATTTCACCAAATTAGGACATTAAAGAGGAGAGAGGAAAAAAATGTTATAGAAAGAGGTCTTAGAGGGGGTTTTGTGAGGGGCTTATTTGTCAAAAAATTATGAGCTAGCTTTTGGTAGCTTTCGGTTTTTTTACGATAAAACTATTATATAACTAAATCATTTGCTTGGTCAAATGCAGATTATTTAAGTAAAATTTATAATCTAGTTTTTTCAAAAATTAGAGATCCCCAACATTTTAAAATAGGGTTCATAACCTAATTAATTTTAAGTTTGGACTTCACTGAACATATAGATATCAATAAGCTTGAGTAAACCCCCCTCCAAAGCACCCTCTAAAAGTACACGGGGTTTCCTGTCATCAGTAGTAAGTACCCAATCCCTTTCAAAAGGCCCAAACTAAAAAGTTAATGGGCCAAGGAAGGAGGCCTCTTGCGTACTTTTTCCGCGCCTCCTTTCACGCGCGCGATAGCACCCCGCGGCTTAACCTGCGCCACCCAGAAACCTTTTAAGCTTTTTTTTAGATATTAGCCCCTATCTTCATGTTTAGATATTAGTCCTTCAAATGGCTATAATGTGTTGATATGAGCCCCTATGGTTAGGGCTGAGCACGGTTCGGTCCAAACCGAAAAAACCGACCGAACCGACCCAAACTGACCCGAAAAAATCGGTTTTAAGAGTAGTGCGGATCGGTTCGGGTCGGGTTGAAAACTTTTCAACCCGAACCGATCCGAACCGACCAAATACCCCATGGTCTAAATACCCATTCTGCTCAAACCCGACTCGTCCCCAAAGACAAAGTCTCAGACTCTCAAACTCTAAACACCTAAACTTCCCTTCCCCCTTTCCCAGCCGCCTCCTCAGTTCCTCTCTCTCACTCCCCAGTCCTCAGTTCCACGGTCCACCTCTCTCACTTCCTCTTCCTCTTCCTCACTTCCGCAGTCTTCACGGCTGAGGCAGAAACATCACCTCAGGCTCAGGATCTGTCTCCGGCTTTGGGGGGACACCCGCACGCGTCGCCATCGCCGAGGCCGAGGTATAAACTTTATCTTTTGCTCTTCTTCAAGCTTTTGACTGCGATTATTCTTTAATTTTGATTTATTTCCTTGGATACAACAGCTAGTAAGTTGAGATGTCGGCCTATCAGTTTCTTGTTCATTTATGCACTCCTATTCTCTTATGATTTCTGAGTTTGTGCTTTGATAACGATTCTTAATTTGTTTTCTGGTATATATGTTTTCATGGATGATGATTTTGTTCCTTTTCCCCCTATTGTTTTTCCAAATTAAGTTGACAACACTTGAAATACTACTATTTAATATTCATGGGATCCCTTACCCGTCATGATATATTCTATTTGATTTAGCATTTGGCAAGTCTACTGTTTAAGTCATTATGAAAATGAAGTTAGAACCAAACAAACCAAACCGAACCGCACCGAATCGACTTGCAACGGTTCGGTTCGGTTTAGAATTATATGCGGTTCGGTTCGGTTGTTCAAAATTTGGTAAAAACCCACCCGAACCGAACCGTGCTCAGCCATACCTATGGTTATGTTCATATTTTGATATTAGCCCCTCAAATAACCATGATGTGTTGATATGAACCCCTCATAATCATATTAACACAAGATAGTCACTTGAGGGGCTTATATCAAAATACGGAGATTTAAGGGGCTAATATCAACTTACTTATGATTTAAGGGGCTAATATATAAAAACCCAAACTTTTAATGTATATATACGTCCTCCTCCTCAGCTATCCAAGCTCACAACCGCGATCAGACCGCAGTTCAGATAAAAGATCAGATTTTTATCAGAACTCCGACCTCAATGGCTACGAAGAAGAGCGTTGGATCTCTGAAGGCAGGCGATCTGAAAGGGAAGAAGGTGTTCGTTCGCGTGGATCTCAACGTTCCTCTCGATGACAGCCTCAGGATCACCGACGACACCAGGATCAGGGCCGCAGTCCCCACGATCAAGTATCTCATTGCGCACGGCGCCAAGATCATCCTCGCCAGCCATCTCGTAACCTCACTGATCTCAAAGCTTACATTTTGATTGCGAAACCTAAACAAATCGATACCGAATACCTATAATTTCTCTAGGTTTTCTTTGATAAGACTTAAACAAAAAACGCTTTAACTTGGTTTGATTTATCGGTGCTTTATTATGAGTGAGCTCGAAATTCGATGGATCTGTTACTTGTTGGTGATTTCTAAAAAATATTATTTCAGATTTTTAGTAGCATTTATCACCCCTCAATTAATGGGGGAGAAGGGGAGTTATCTGCAATTTATTCTTCTGAAACTACCATTTCAGGAATGATAAGTGCTAGTAAAATAGTTGAGGTGTAAAACTGCTATTGAAAGTTATAGACGAGGGGGTTAATCTTTAGTTAAGATATGAGAGACTGTGTATTGTTGATGAGTTGATTTGTTTCAGATAACCCCATTAACGATATAAATTTAATTTTCTTTTCCCAAATAATGAAAGTATTGTGGGATGTATGATGTGCATTTAAAGTAATACTAAGATATATTATGGACATATAACATGGGTTAGTATGTCTATAATCTATAGGGACTAAAAAGTGAAAGAAAACAGATAAACGACAAAGATGCTAAATGACTGGTTGGGGAAACCTGGAATGGAAATCATATAATGGCTTTAATAGATTAAACATCGAAGGATGGAAGCTGTGAACATAATATTATATTATTTTGACTTGGTCTTGTGTGACCAAATCAACCATTCTTCTCTCAACAGTAAGATTCTTAGAATTATGGGATGTGGGGTGGTTGAGAGAATATCTCTCAGATATTGAGGCAGTAATTTGAGGGGGTGGAGATCATGGGGTAGACTCTATATAGAGTGCGATCTTCTCTTTGAGAAAACACAACACATAAAAGTAAAAAAACCTCAATCCCATTACCGAAGCCTCCTAAAAACCCATCATACTTTTCCTCTTTCATTGTTGTACACTGGTATCAGAGCCGAGTTTGTCCAATGATTTATATCTTCTACACATTTGTTTTTCAGTCGCAAATAACTTCTGTACTCAAAGCTTTCCCTCTCTCACCTACATTCTTCCTAAGGAAAAGAAAATTTGAGTTGCTCCCAAACATCACTTGTGATACTCAAAACCTCTTGTTTTTGATTTTATTATTTTCTTTGTACTTGTTGTCTCCCTCAAAGACAACCATTTCATAAAGCCAACACTGCATCCTTTTTTTTCATTTCATGGAACTCGTGACTTTCCCATATCCACAAGATTGTCCCGTCACTTCCCACATTCAATATATATATATATATATATATATATATATATATTACCATCATAGATTGAGATTTTTTTGAGCTCCGTGCCTAAGAGATATATATTACCATCATAGATTGAGATTTTTTTGAGCTCCGTGCCCAAGAGAGACAATATTCTCATTTCTCTGTCCCCATCTCAATCTCATAGATTATACAAGGAACAATTATTTTCGGCCCCTCTATTATTTTTCATGTTCATCGGGGCCATTTCAAGCTCGAGGGAAAATTTATTTTGGCCCCTTACACAATTCAACCTCTGTTTTCAACTAGCTGCAATTGTCCGAACAATTCTTCGCAAATCCTATCCGGCGCATCTCGACAATAGCTACAGTCCGTCACTTAGTGTTGTCGACCGCAGAAGTACCTGTTGACGTTGGTTTTGACTGGATTTGGAGATGCTCTTATTCATGACAATATCGATGATGTAATCAAAATCACTGCTTCAACCATTACTGATAAATCTACACCTGAAGAAAAGAAATGGTTTGAATAGTAAAAGTCTAAAAATAAAAAGACAAAAAACCTAATGCTCATGTTCATGGAAGATAACTTGACCAAAGTTTTTGAAACTTACAAGACTTCCATGGACATGTGGATTGCTATAAAAGAAAAATATGATACTGCCTCTGAAGTTAATATTCAACTCCTCTTGCATAAGTATAATTCTTGTCGTATGCA